CCCCAAAACCCCAAAACCCCAAAACCCCTCTAATATTTTTCAAAATTGAATCAAAATTAGTTTAAACCACAAGCTGGAACTCAACTTTTACTACAGGAAAAGTAATTTTACTGAAAATGAGTCAGATATTCAACTTTAGGAACTCACAAAAGGACACATACGAAGTCAATGGAAGACATAAAAGCAAAAGATCTCAAAGTAAGTCAGTTCAAGTTACTTTTAGAAACAACTAGCAACTCCCAATCCAGCTTAAATGCTTTCATGACAAAATATACTGAAAGAGAGAAGAACAAGAAAAATGTTTCTAATGCAATCACACTTTCAGATGATGAAGGTAGCAAGAAAAGAAAAGGATCATCTATCACTCAGTTTCTGACTCGCGGATCACAAGGAAATAAGTCGGATTGTGAGAAAAGTAAAAACCTTGGTTCTAGTGCATTTGATTCACAACACAGTACTGCTAATACAGTTGATAAATCAGAAGTTGATGATGAAGGACCTACAAATGACATTGATTACTACCAGTATGCTTCCATGAGAAGAGCAAGTGAAAGTCCAGACCAAAACAACCCATCTGGCTCGAACTTCAACCCTTCACTCAAAGGTCAGAAGCGGAAGTTCAACAAAGGAGGCTACCTTGTCAGTGGCAGAAGGAAAACACACTTGTTTAGGTTTCCAATGGTCATTGAGACAAACCTTGTGTGAAGACATCTCTTCATGGAGAACGAGAGGTATCTCACTTCCAACGTTGCGTTTAAGACTGTCCTAGAGCGAGACAAAGACAACAGACATGACCGTAATGCCATATTGGTTGCTGTTGTGCAGCAGTTAGGGAATCTCCAAGAGAAAAAGCACTACTTCGGATATGTTCCCAAGGATATTGGATACCACTTGGCTCCGATCATGGACTTGAACAGAGACTACTACACTTTCAACGCTCAGGCTGATTTGCGTTCGAACAAGCTGACTATCAGCATTGACTTGGAATCCAAGATCTTGAGAGGACACAGAGAGTATGATGTGAAGACAGGGTCTTATGCAATCAAAGACCTCCCAGGGATGCCCAAGAAGTTGAAGACATCATTTATGGCATTGAACAAACAAAACAAAAACTCAGACACAGGAAGTGAATACAAGTGAGAAGACTCTGAAGATTCAGATGGACCAAACGAGGCAGATCTTCCAAAAAGCATTGCTGATATTTCTACTCCTGATTTGAAATGGCTCGGAGTTGATGAAAGCGACATTAAGAAGGATCTGAAAGAGGAGGATGATAGATATGTTAGAAACTTCAACCTTGTACTTGAAACTATCAAAGGTTATGATTTCTTGTTCAATCAAAACGAACTTGAAATCATCAAACGATACAAAAGTTTAGGATCCCTTGCTAAAAGCATTTATGTCAGAATTTACTTTGATAATAAACATTGGTGGAGCTCACTTGAACTATTCAAATTCAACAAGAACAAGCAAGCTGTCATGATGGCAATTGGAGAGTTGAAAAGGAATGTATTTATAAGAGACTTCAATGAAGTTGTAGAAAAGTTAGACTATGAGAGGATATCCGATGCAATACAAAGTCTTACTCCAAATCAACTCAAGCAATTTGATGACGAAGTGAACCGAGCACTAAGAACAGCTCCAAAAGTTGATCTTGGTTTAGATGAAACTCAGCATAATCCATTTTATCAATTCAAGCATGCTGCTGAAGGAAGTTTAAAATCATTGGCTGTAAGTGTGAGCAAGAAATTTAGTGAGTGAATAAGAGCAATTGTTGAAGACTGCAAAAAGGAACGCAGAAAAGTCCTCCCATTTCCCAATTTTTCTTATTCAACAAAGCCAGACATTATTTCCAAGATTCTTGGTAAAATTCACTACATGGAAGAGTCTGGACAGAAAATACTTAAAAAGAAAGATGTTGTCAAGAACACTAACCTCCACCAGTTCTTTAAGATGAAGGATGAAACCCCCAAAGACGAAGCCTCCAAGATGGATCAAAGAGTCAAGCTCAGAGGTGAAGTGTGCAGAGCGTTCTTCAATGCCAACGAAGGAGCAGGCATTTCATGCAATGAAGTCATCAAGGGGTTTTTCCAGAGATGTCTGAGACTCTTTTTCTTCTACAGCTCAGATGACACCTACGAACAGCTGATGCTGAACGACTACGGATTCTACACATTTGTGAGGAACAGGAACTATCTGATGAACAAGGACGAAAACTTATACTACCTCAAACCCATTTTTGAAAAGAGGCAGCAGTGGATAGACTTTGATGATGCAGCTCTTTTGAAAATATGTATCGAAGATATGCTAAAAATGAGAATAAGAAGAAAGGATTTAGTCGCTGATGTGATAGAGCATGTGTGAAAATATTTGTTAGAGCAGTTTGATGTCCAATATGACGATACAAACAAAGGTCTTGTTTTAGGAGCTAAATTAAATGATTTGTTTGAAACTTGGAAAAATAAAATCAATGAAATTGAAGAAGTAATCAGTGAGCATCAAAGACAAATGTTAGAAAAGGAGAAGATTGAGCAAGAGAGACTTGATAAATTCGCATCAAATTCTCAAGAAGAAAAATTGTCTCAAGATGAATCTCAGCAAGCAAATTTTGAACTCTCTCAAAGGACAGATGACATTCCTGTTGAAGAAAGCCCATCAAATTTCAAACCTTTCAAATTAGATAACCCAGTCTTTGGAGACACCACCTATGATGACCTTGAACTTCAGAAGAAAGAACAAGAACTAGAAGAGCTACTTGAAGATCGTCAATCACAAGAGCTTGAAGAAAATAACATGACAAGAGACTTCAGAGGTAGAAGAATTCCAAAGTTCCTTGAGAGATTCCGTAAAAAGCACATGTACACCATGATAATGGCTGATTTCTTTAAATGTCTTGAGAAAGGGAAAAGGTATGATGTCTGTCTTATTGTCATGTCTCAAATCTTACTCTCTGACAAACTAGAAGATAGAAGAGGATATTGGTGGCTCAGGTTTACTATGAATCTAAAACATCTGAAATGGAAACAAGAAGCATTTGATGCATGAGAAATAGCTTTAAAAGACCCCGAAACCAGAACTGCCAACAGAAACAGAATTCTTAAAATCAGACTCAAGGCATTTGAAGATCTTCACAAGAAAAAGAAGCCTAAAGGCAAAGGTAGAAAGAGAGGTAGAAAACTTGCTGGAACAGGCTCTATCAATAGTTCTCAGGCATCAACAAAGAGCGGCACTAAAGCCAACAAGAGAACCAACAAAACCCAACAGAAGTACAAAAATGCTGAGAGGCCTGACTTCATCGGAGATGACATTCTTGGTGACCTCGACAACGACTGAGACGACGAGAAAGAAATGGACCAGTATCTCAACGACATTGAAAAGCAACGACAAGACTTCAGCAAGCTCAAGTCCAAACTTGACAAAGCCTTCAAGGGTGAACGAGATGGGACTGATGAAGGGTCAGAACTGCAATCTCAGAGCAGCTTCATGACAGACTGTTCACTGCTTTACAACAATGACTATGACGACCGTGACCCTTCTGAGATCCTTATCGAACAAGAACGCAAGAAAACACTCGACTTGCTGATCAAGTCATCTGATGTGTTCTATGACAAAGATTATTACTCTGAGCGCCATATCCGAGGAAGACGAGCTTACACCGGCCAGCAGCTCAGGATCGTGTACATGGACTCGGAAGGCACTGAATTCGTGACTGTTGAAAACCTTGCGCTCAAGTTCTATGGCAAGCAAGGTTGGTATGGCTTGCATGTTGAAAACACTTTGTTCAAGACATTCTATGGGCTGTTGTTCTGGGACCAGATTTACTTTGAGAAAGTGCCTTATGTGTACCAGACTCCATACCACTTTGGACCGCTTGACTTTGGACTGAGAGAGTTCTATCAGTCACGTAAAAGCATCTTTGACGACAGACTAAAAATAATCGAGAACATCAAGGCAGAAGATTTGAGGAAAGAAATTGAAGATTCTTACGATAGACACTTGCACACTCACAATGTGCTGATCAACTGGGACTCAGTCAAACTGACCAGAGAGAGGCTAGCCAGTGTCAGTGTGTGATTAGGAGGCAAAATCATAGCTAAAATTGTGAAACGCTATCTTGACGATTTTAAAACTTGGAGAATAGGAATGCCTGACCTTGTTCTTTGGAAAGACGAAACCAGAGAGTCTATGTTCGTAGAAGTAAAATCAGAAACAGACACAGTGGCAGAGCATCAGAAATGATGGATCTCATTCTTGACCCAATGCAAACAGAAAGTTGAAGTATGTTATGTTAATGACAAAGTAGACGGAGTAGATGTTTTCTAAATAATTTTTCTCTAAAACTTTCAATAAATATATAATTTGGTGGGGTTTTGGGGTTTTGGGGTTTTGGGGTTTTGGGG